TTGCCACCAGTGCTCTATACACTAGCAGTGGCTGTTGAATCAGGGCAAAATAGGAACTATATCCACCCTTATATTTAGCACCAAACCCCCCACTTTCATTCATTCTTTTAAAACCAATTTTTAAAAAGCATATGGCCTTTGTCAACAGCTTCTTAAACACCTTTTTATAAAATGTGAGAAGTCTGTTGATGTTAACAACCCTATATGTTTTCATGAAAAGCAGCACATCCTGTTCTCCTGTTCTTTATTTTCAGTCTGAGGTAAGTGATGCTTTTATTAATATGGGTGTCTTTTTAAACAAGGTGGAGCTAATCCCATATAGTTATGTACATCTTGTTCACACAACAAAATAGGGCAATGAGGAAAATTTAACAAGTGTATTGTATTCTTGTCAGTCTTCCATGAATTTATGGGACCCTTCAATAATAATAACAACAATAACAACTTTATTGTCATTGTACGTGTATACACAGTATACCCATACAACGAAATTCACTTAAGACCCAAAGACCAGGTCCAACACACATAACAATCTGCGAACACACTTCCACCCACCACAAATTCCCCACCCCTAAACCACCCAAACATCCACACAACAGACCAAGTAATGCTGTCCAACAGCTCACTGATGGTGGCCCTTTAGTTCATTGTTGAGTGCAATTATAGCTCTGGGATAAAAACTATTCAGAAAATGTGTGGTCCGAGTTTTAATTGTTCTTTATCTTCTGCAACAGTCCAAAAAGATTGTAAGCAGGATGGGAAGAGTCTCTGAGAATGTTATGCAACTTCAAGCAGAAAGTGTTAGTAATTCCTTATGTTTCAAACTTCTGATAGAGGAGATTGCTGAGGAATTTAGGATAAGGCAATATAAGTTGCTCAATCCTCTTGCATTCCATCTTCAGATCTTTAATTTTGTGGTTATTTATAAAACTGCCCTATTCATTGATTTAAAAATATTACTACAGTATGTTGTTCTGTTGGCCTCCTAAGTGAAAGTTTAATTTGTAAAAGGACATTGCAGTTCTACCGATCTTCATTCCCTTTTTTCCCACAACTCCACATTCATCCAATATCATGGTCGCCAATCTCCAGTCTGTGGACCAGCACTGGTCCACACAAACCAGTGAAGCCCCATCCACGGCATGTAGGCAGCACACAAAACCACATCCTCTCCAGTCCACGGAAAAACCTTTCTCTGTGGAATGGGTCTCTGGTACCCAAAAGATTGAGGGCCACTGGTCTATATTGTTCACCTATTGTTCTATAACAAAATCTCATATTGTAAGAACTTATGTTTAATTTCCCACTAGGTAATTATTATATGTTCATGATTCATGAAACAAATGCTTTTCTCTAAAAGATCTTCTAGTTCATTTGACTTCAAAATCCTATATAAACAAGAGAAGAGACTGAATATGTTTTTCCACCTCACACAAGTTCCTCACCTTTATTTTCTGAATTTAGGTACTTTCCATCTACTAAGTTTTCCTACAGTTTGAGAATCTTTAAGCTATTAATTTTAGAGGTCTTCAGATGCAAGTATGGAAATTTATGGAAACTTCTTTCAGAATTCTAGAGACTTAAAACTGTAAAAAAATATCATACAGAATGTTTGTAATTTTTTACTTTTTACAAGAAGAATTATGTTCAATTCATTGAGTGGTTACGTCCCGAGTGGCAATATAACAAAAACATCCCTCCCCTGGTTTCCCCTCTTAGGAATTATGGAAAGAGACAAATAGCCCTCAACTAAAGATTTATGAGAAGGGACGTGGTGGCTCAGTGGCTAAGACACTGAGCTTGTTGATCGAAAGGTCGGCAGTTCACTGGTTTGAATCCCTAGTGCCACGTAACAGGGTGAGCTCCCGTTACTTGTCCCAGCTTCTGCCAACCTAGCAGTTCGAAAGCACGTAAAAAAAAATGCAAGTAGAAAAATAGGGACCACATTTGATGGGAAGGTAACAGCCTTCCGTGTGCCTTTGGCATTTAGTCATGCCGGCCACATGACCATGGAGATGTCTTCAGACAGCGCTGGCTCTTCGGCTTTGAAACAGAGATAAGCATCGTCCCTAGAGTCGGGAACGACTAGCACATATGTGCGAGGGGAACATTTACCTTTACCTTAAATATTTATGCCTTCTTTGCAGGACTTTTCAATAAAATTTTTAGAATGAATAAAGATCAGGAATTAATCCTTTTCTGGTGGTAAGCAAAGGTTTTATGTATTATGCTTCATCTTAATGTGGTTTTTTTGCTTTTGCCTTGGTGGGATGAAAGAAACCATTGCTTACAAATTTCAATTGATAAAGAGTCTCAATCAAATCACACAAAGCCAAAAGCAATCTACATTGTATAGACCAGATCTTGAGACAAGACTTACTGCTTTCTAATAGAAAATGCTAGCAGCCTCCCAGGCCCATAAAATTATTTCCTGGAGAGCACAACTTTAATGGGGAGGGGCGGATCGACATAGTGAAGGCATCTTCTGAATGCTAACATGCATTTAATAAAACCAAAGTATTAAAAGCTGACAAACTGAAAAGGAAGATTGATCACTTAAATGGACCAGAAGCCCTTTACAGTGCAACATAATTGAAGCCTGGACTATTGTTTCTGTGTGCTTCTTTAAAAGTGTGTGTGTGTGTGTGTGTGTGTGTGTTAATATATATATTTGGCTGAGTATCAAAGAACTGAGGCCTTTGAACGATGGTGCTGGAGAAGACTCCTGTGAGTCCCTTGGACTGCAAGGCGATCCAACCAGTCAATCCTAGAGGCGATCAACCCTGACAGCTCTTTAAAAGGCCAGATCCTGAAGATGAAACTCAAATACTTTGGCCACCTAATGAGAAGGAAGGACTCAGCTGGAGAAGAACCTAATGCTGGGAAAGATTGAGGGCAAAAGAAGAAGGGGACGGCAGAGAACGAGGTGGCTGGATGGAGTCACTGAAGCAGTCGGCCTGAGCTTAAATGGACTCCAGAGGATGGTAGAAGGCAAGAAGGCCTGGAGGAATGTTGTCCATGGGGTCGCGATGTGTTGGACAAGACTTTGCAACTAACAACAAAAATGTTAATAGGATTCCATCTCCAGCAACCGATAGTAGTCATTTCATTGCTTCCACATTTTTTGGGATGATGTCCTGATAGATATTCCTTGATTTATAATCATTTGTTTAGTGACTGTTCGAAGTTACAGCTACACTGAAATAAATGATTTATGACTGTTTTTCTCATTTATGACCACTGCAGCATCCTCATGACCACAGAGTCAAAATATGCTTGGCATCTGGCATGTGTTCATAATAGCTGCAGTATCCAGGATTACGTGATCACCATTTGTCACCTGGTTTCCAACAAGCAAAGTCACTGGGAAAAGCCAGATTTGCTTACTTGACTACATGGTTCACTTAACAATTGCAGTGACTTACTTAACAACTGTGGAAAGAAAGGTCATGAAATGAGGGACAACTCACTGAACTGTCTTGCCTAGCAGTGGAACTTTTAGGCTCAATTGTGATTGTAAATTGAACTGTACAATATATGGAAATAATCCCAGTCCCTTAAAATTAAAGTTTGCTTGCCTTACATACTAAACAACAAAGTATCCAACTATTTTTTCTTAAATATTTTAAGCAAATGTTGTACAAGCAAATGCAATAAGCTTAAGACTGTATCCTGAAGTGTTGGAATATAAAAACTGTCTCGTTCACATAGTATGTGAAAATAGCAATGAATTTCAATTTTATGAAATTAAAACTAAGTTTGGAGCTATTGTTTATTAACCAATGTTGCATTCTATTTTATACAAAATGCTTCCGTATCAGAAAACACCCATGTTCTTCTATTCCAGATACCTGTAATGACCCCAAAGGACAGCCGTTTGTCCATGACCTGCTAACAAATTCATGTCTTTACACAGAAGATACAATCATACCAACAGCCAACTCTGCTCACTGAGTTGTTTCAGACAACTGCTATTTTAGGAGGCGTTTTAGAAGTTACTTGCAAACTTGTGGCGAGTTTGCTGTTTAATCTGCTAGTTTTGCAAAAGGAGAAACTACACAGCATTAAAAATAATCCTGTTGCTCATTGCAGCTGTGCTGAGCTGCTTTCTTGGCGTGATTTGGAAGAGATTTGGTCATAGTAGAACCAAATATGGATAGGAGAGCCACTTTGGCTAGTAGTGGTTCAGGCACCAGACTAGAAATCAGGAGTTTCGAGTCCCATTTTAGGCATGAAAACCTGTTGGGATGACTTGAGACCAGTCTCATCAATCTGTCTGTCTGTCACCCTCCCTCTCTCTCTCTGTCTCTCTCTCTCTCTCTCTGTCTGTCAGTCTGTCTCTCTCTCTCTCTCTCTCTGTCTCTCTCTCTGTGTGTCTGTCTGCCTCTCTCTCTCTCTCTCTCTCTCTCTCTGCCTGTCTCTCTCTACCTTAAAAGTGGGACTTTTAAAAATGCCTTCCCCCCCCCTTTTTTTTTCTTTTTTTTTTTTTTTTTTGTGTGTGATTTCAGCCCGGATGTCTTCAGTACTCGCTCCATCTGCCCTCCCGTCCCTCCCAAAAAGTTGCTGTAAAGCCCATGCTCCGCGCCCACTTCTCCAGCGTTTCTTATTCAAGGAGCAGAGGCCGAGACAGGTGCCTGGGCGCCCTTGTTCCCCTCAAGGCTTCGCCTTAAAGCGCAAAGGACCTCCGCAGAGATGGCTCCTCGCTCGCACCCGGGAAGGCAAGGCAGGGACGCCCGAGTGCAGCCTTCGCCTATATACTATGGCCTTTGGGAAAGAGGTGTGGGGGAGAGAGAGAGAGAGATTTATCAACCCTGCCCCGCTTGGCCCCTTTTTGCTTGAAAATGGGGTGCTCCATTTTGCGCGCGGGGGGGGGGATGCAGGAGGTCCAAATAGGAGGCGAGCTCAGCCTCCGCGGGGATGGAGCAAGCAGAAGGCAATGCAAAAAAAAAAGGGGGGGGGGCACAGGACAAGTCCTTTTGGCGAAGGGAGCCGGCTCTTACCTTGGAGGCGAGTCAGAAGCAACCCCAGCTGGAGCAGCAGCCCCCACTTGGCGGACGCCTCCATTCCGTCCCTGAAAAGGGGGGGGACGGACCCGGGTGGGGGATTCCACTCAGAGGGCGCGCTCCGGTCCTGCGCAACGACACGCGGAGTTGGGTTGTCAGACCGAAGGAGACAGGCGGGAAGGGGGTGGGGGATTTGCCCAAGTGCCGGAAACGTGGTTCTTTTGCCGCCCCGGAGCGCAACTTGGGGGGTGGGGGGTCAAAGCCGGACAAGCGACCGAAGAGCACCCCCCGGAGGCCGGCCGGTGCCAGAAGAAGGAACTCCCGGGCGCGCCTGACCTCGGGAGGCAGCCCAGAGATGAACCTCTCCGGGCAAGCCCGCTCTACCTGAGGAGGGCGTGGCTAAACTTGCTGGCCGAAAGCAGCCCGCCTTTTGCCTCAAGCCGAGGAGAGGGTGGGACGGGCGGCCAGAGAATCGCCTGTGGCTTGGCGGGAATTTTAGAATTGCAAGGTGGAGAAATTGCCCAGCTGCGCTCCGGCAGAACTGAGCTAAAGCGACCTGCCTGACGGGGCTGGGAGAGGAATTGGGGGTGGGGGGCGGCAAATGCAGGCGAACCAGCCTCGGATTACGCCGGTTTCGCTTAAAAGAGAGCGGGACCCTCCGGTGAAATGGAGTCAAAAAAAGCCCCGTCCCGGGTTAGTTCTTCGGCAGCCCTGGGCTGGCTAGAAAACGCCTCCGGAGTTCGGGAAGGGCGCGGGCGTTGATCCGAGATGAGCCTCTCCAAGAAGAAACCCACCAGAAGCAACTTCGCTTTTATCTTTGGGAAGCCTGTGCAAAGGCGCCCGCCGCGCTCGAATTAAAGTTCCGTAACTGATGAAAGTCGTCAACGTTCATTATTATTGTGTGTGTGTGTTTGTGTGTAAGTGAGTGAGTGTTGGCTCCTGGCGGCTGCCTGCGGTTTCCTGGGCGAGGTGTATCGGGAGTGGTTTGCCTTTGCTTGCTTCCGAGGGCCTCACGTCTTGACTGCTGCACCACCAAACTAGCCCTCGTTGCTCATCTCTCTCAGTTCTTGTTACCACATGAAGGTTGAGAAATGTCAATAAACCAGGATTTGTTCCAGCTGGCCATGATCTCGTTGCTCATCTCTCTCAATTCTTGTTACCAAATGAACGTTGAGAAATGTCAATAAACCAGGATTTGTTCCAGCTGGCCATGATCTGGGAGTTTATGTACTAAGGAGGAGTTGAATAAAAAGTTTACTTCTATTATACATAGTTTAAATGTGTTTTATCTTCTGGCTGTTCACCGCCCTGAGTCCTTCGGGAGAAGGGTGGTATAGAAATTTAATAAAATAAATAAATAAAATAAATGGAGTAAAAGCTTACCCTTTATTTTAAAATGGGCTGTAGCCAGTGGTAAATCCATTTTTTTTACTACCGTTTATGTGGGTGTGGCTTGGTGGGCGTGGCAGGGGAAAGATACTGCAAAATCTCCATTTCCCCCCCCCACACTCCTGGGGGAAGGATATTGCAAAATCTCCATTCCCACCCCACTCTGGGGCCAGCCAGAGGTGTTATTTGCCAGTTCTCCGAACTGCTCAAAATTTCCGCTACTAGTTCTCCAGAACCTGCTGGATTTCACCCCTGGCTGTAGCTGTAGCCCCTTTATTTTAAAAGTCCCAAAAGCATGATAAGCGTAGCTGAAATCATGTATTTCCATATATTTCTGTTGATGAATCAAGATCATTACTACTTCCAAGGGACTCTCGCTTTAAAAGTCACAAATGGGCAGATGCTGACTTGTAAAATCCTAGGCCACCAGCTTGTAAATCATGGAGCAAACCAGGCAAGTAGAATATGCAAATTTGACCTTTGCCAAATTCCAGTTGATATTGATATATAATACAATGATATAATACATTGGTTCATGCTATTTGTGGACCAACGCAGCTATTAATTATAAAGAAATTGGGCTCTACGTAGATGTGCAAAAACACGTAATAATTGTTATATTTTCATCTATTGATGTAAATGTTCATTAAAAGTCTAATTTGCACCATTTGGAATTACTTGTAGCAATTCCATAGAGATCCTGAGATATGATACAGGTAGTCCTTGACTTATAACCACAATTAGGACCAGAATTTTTGTTGCTAAACAAAATGCCTGATTTTACAGAGGTTTTTTAAGTGTGGTTGTTAAGCAAGTCACTGCAGTTAAATGAATCACATAGTCATTAAACAAATCCAGCTTCCCCCATTGACTGCTTGTTGGAAGCCACCTGCATAGGTTGCAAATGGCAATCACATGACCCCAGCGCATTGTAACCATCGTAAATACACGCCAGTTGCCAAGTCCCCAAATTTTGATGCTACGTGGACATAAGTGCAAGGACTGGTTGTAAAGAGCCTGTAGTACAGTGGACTAAAGCACTGTTATTAACAACTGCTGCTTGCAATTACTACAAGTTCAAATCTCACCAGGCTCAAGGTTGACTCAGCCTTCCATCCTTTCAAAGGTAGGTGAAATGAGGACCCAGATTGTGGGGGCAATAAGCTGACTTTGTATAAATATACAAAAGTATGAAGGCTATTGCTTAACGCATTGTAAGCCGCCCTGAGTCTGTGGAGAAGGGCAGCATATAAATTAAAGCAAAAAAAAAAAAAAAAGGACTGGTTGTAAATCACTTTTTTGAGTGTTGTTGTAACTTCAAACAGCTGCTAAATGAACGGTTGTAAATCAAGGATTACCTGTACTGCAGAAGTATACATACACAGTTGAGTATTCAGTAAATGTTTCAAATTCAGTTGATAGAACATTCTTCTGCATAGGAGCCAGAATATCATAGGCATCAGTGGTGGGTTTCAAAAATTTTTACTACTGTGGGTGTGGCTTGGTGGGCGTGGCATGGCTTGGTGGGCATGGCAGGGGAAAGATACTGTAAAAGCTCCATTCCCTCCCCAATCCAGGGGAAGGTTACTGCAAAATCCCCATTTCCTCCCAATCAGCTGGGACTTGGGAGGCAGAGAATAGATGGGGGCAGGGCCAGTCAGAATTTTTACTACCGGTTTTCCAAACTACTCAAAATTTCTGTTACCGGTTCTCCAGAACTGGTCAGGACCTGCTGAAGCCCACCTCTGATAGACATGGCAGATTACACATACAGGTGAAACTCGAAAAATTAGAATATCGTACAAAAGTTCATTTATTTCAGTAATGCAACTTAAAAGGTGAAACTAATATATGAGATAGACTCATTACATGCAAAGCGAGATAGTTCAAGCCTTGATTTGTCATAATTTTGATGATTATGGCTTACAGCTCATGAAAACCCCAAATTCACAATCTCAGAAAATTAGAATATTACATGAAATCAATAAAACAAGGATTGTACATGGAACAATATCGGACCTCTGAAGAGTATAAGCATGCATATGTACTCAGTACTTGGTTTGGGCCCCTTTTGCATCAATTACTGCCTCAATGCGGCGTGGCATGGATGCTATCAGCCTGTGGCACTGCTGAGATGTTATGGAAGACCAGGATGCTTCAATAGCGGCCTTCAGCTCTTCTGCATTGTTCGGTCTCATGTCTCTCGTCTTTCTCTTGGCAATGCCCCATAGATTCTCTATGGGGTTCAGGTCAGGTGAGTTTGCTGCTGGCCAATCAAGCACAGTAATCCCATGGTCATTGAACCAGGTTTTGGTACTTTTGGCAGTGTAGGCAGGTGCCAAGTCCTGCTGGAAAATGAAGTCAGCATCCCCATAAAGCTCGTCTGCGGAAGGAAGCATGAAGTGCTCCAAAATCTCCTGGTAGATGGCTGCGTTGACCCTGGACTTAATGAAGCACAGTGGACCAACACCAGCAGATGACATGGCTCCCCAAATCAACACAGACTGTGGAAACTTCACACTGGACTTCAAGCATCTTGCAGTGTGTGCCTCTCCATTCTTCCTCCAGACTCTGGGTCCTTGTTTTGCAAATGAGATGCAAAAGTTGCTCTCATCAGAAAAGAGGATTTTGGACCACTGAGCAACAGACCAGTTCTTTTTTTCTTTAGCCCAGGTAAGACGCTTCTGACATTGTTTGTTGTTCAGGAGCAGCTTGACAAAGAATACGACATTTGAAGCCCATGTCCAGGATCCGTCTGTGTGTGGTGGCTGTTGATGCACTGACTCCAGCCTCTGTCCACTCCTTGTGAAAGTCCCCAACACTTTTGAATGGCTTTTTCCTACAATCCTCTCCAGGCTGCGGTCATCCCTGCTGCTGGTGCACCTTTTTCTTCCACACTTTTCCCTTCCACATAACTTTCTATTGATGTGCTTTGATACAGCACTTTGGGAACATCCAACTTCTTTTGCAATTACCTTTTGAGGCTTTCCCTCCTTATGGAGGGTGTCAATGATGGTTTTCTGCACAACTGTCAGGTCAGCAGTCTTTCCCATGATTGTGATTCCTACTGAACCAGACTGAGAGACCATTTAAAGGATCAGGATCCCTTTGCAGGTGTTATGGCTTAATTAGCTGATTAGAGTGGGACACTTTGAGCCTAGAATATGGAACCTTTTCACAATATTCTAATTTTCTGAGATTGTGAATTTGGGGTTTTCATGAGCTGTAAGCCATAATCATCAAAAGTATGACAAATCAAGGCTTGAACTATCTCGCTTTGCATGTAATGAATCTATCTCATATGTTAGTTTCACCTTTTAAGTTGCATTACAGAAATAAATGAACTTTTGCACAATATTCTAATTTTTCGAGTTTCACCTGTACTCAGAAGCTTCCCAAACTCAGCATATTAATTGGTTTCATATGGTTGCATTGAAATGTTAAAAATGGTATAAATGAACAAGGTTTAACCTTCCACCTTATGAGTGGATATGTATATAATATATTCAGCTAGAATACCGTTGCATCAGATGTGTATACTCCTGTATCTGAAAAATACAGTAGTACATATTAATCCAGTCTGGTATATTTGATGCATTTCTTAAAAATTAAAGAATTATTTTCTGTCCTACCAATGTAAGATCCATTTCTTAGGAATTCTTAATATTTTAATGACAGTGCTTGTTATTAGCTATCATACTAAAGCCCAGAATTAAGTTCCCATTAGAATGTAATTATAATGTTTATGCACTCTGATTTCTGTTTTCTGATTAAAATGAAGCTAAGACGTTTAATTGTTAACTCAAATGGAGAACATGATCAAGTTTGCTTTATACCAGGATTGATATGTGACTTACTAGTTGGTTTATTAATATCTAAAAAGAATTGATTTCCCATTTCAACAGTTATCCTCCCTTAGTCCAGAATTTGCAGAAAATTCTGTAATTTATGCAGAACCAAT